TCAAAACTGTGAGAAATTAAAGTTTTCACAGAAATATGTTGAATTTAACAGTAGTAACGTTGCATTCAAATAGAAGCATTAATCGTTTTGCACATAAATGGCATTGACATTACTTCTATCAAAGCTCTGACGAATTTCACCGCAGAGTTAATTTCTATTATGTTGATCCCTTCTCTTTCTTGCCTTAAGTTTGAAATCGAACTTTTTAAAAAAAAAAGGAAGGTCGACCTTATTTGCTCTTAATGTTTCAGATAAAAACACTGGTGTGAATACATTTTAATGCATTGTATCTATTTAATGTCTGGATAATGTTTTACATATTTTTTTCCCACTTTTATATTGTGAACTCAGTATATTTAGTGGTTAGGCATCTTTTTCATTTCATTCAGGTGATTGTGAAGAAAATAAAACCCCAAAAAGTTATTTAGCAAGGTCATTTAAAGTTAAACTGATGTGTTTGAGGTGAAAACTCTCTTATGTTTCAGGTTAATGCTTCACCTTCACTTCTTTAATGAAACAGCGTGCGACTCTGCTTTTGGAGTTAATGAAGTTCAGCGGTGAGGAGATTTTGGTTATGACTCATGTGCAGGGATATAATAGATCGTTTCCATTCAAGCTTTTCGAGTCGGGAGACAAAGGAAACGCAGCGCGTCCTTGTCCTCTCAGGTGAAAACACAGCCTCATCTGAACACAACCGTCCTGTTTGACAAGATCTCTGCGCCTTGAACCGCTTCTCACAGGTTAAATCACAAATTAACAATCAAGAATAAATCAGTTGTTAATTAAAGGTTGACTGAGATTAATTATGAGATGCAAATTATTGCTGAACTCATGAAAAGCTGCGTACAGGTTTGGGTCACTCCACAACAAGGTGTCTAAATGTCAGATTAACAAGACTAAATTATTTTTGTTTCTGTTTAATGTCCCATTAAGTTTGAAGGCTGTTCTTTGAATGCTGTAATTTTTTTTATTCTAATAAAGACACCATAAAGGCTTGTTGAACATATTTATGCCAATTGCTTGAATAACTAGAAAAGCTAAATGAGAAACCGACCAAAGGAACTACAGAAAAAGTCTGTTTTAAATGTTCCAACACTTGTTTTTTGGTGTCAGTCCATGTATGAAAAAAAATAAATGTCATATTAATTTTAGCTGTTATTAAAGTGGAATAATGATACAATAAAGCTCAATAATTTTCTAAAACATAAAGTAGATAAACGGGTTTGAACAATCTAAACTTAAGAGCATAACATGGACGATATCAAAGGATATTTAATTCATTATTAATATATTTATACCATTACAGGAATATATATAACATATACTAGTCTATCGATGAGCAAATAAATATATCTCAGACTGGGACTTCTTTAACTCATTTAATAGTTAACCTGTGTGTAAAAAGATCACCAGGCAGGGTGTCTGTGGTGGGACAAAATTTAAATCCACATGCTCCCCCTTTGCTCAGATAATGGGAGTGGGAAATGTTGTTTTACATCCAGCTGTGCTGATGAAACACAGCTTTACTCATATGTCACAATAAGACCACAATCAAGTGGCTCCACCACCAGAATTTTATTTAGGCTAATAGCTGTCTCACTGTGTGGTGTGGAGGCTGCAGCGCCTCAGACTGGAAGAAGGCGAGAAGACATTAAAGACATTTCATCCCATTTCTGCGTGTCCCGAGCCCATAACATCATCAGTGACCCCTCACACCCCCACCATGGACAGTTTTCCCTGCTGCCCTCTGGGAAGAGGCTTCGCAGCATCTGCTGCAGGTCCGACAGATTCCACAACAGCTTCTTCCCCACCAACATTACACTACTGAATGTTGTATAAAATGGGTTTTTAAGAAAAAAAAAAAAGCTTAATGTTGGAAAATGTAAATCATATACCAGTTTTATGTTTACATTTGATCACTGCTGCACTTTATACAAGGAAACATCATTAAAGCTGTACTGAACAAAATTTCTTTTTCTATCCACTCTGGGTGTACAAAATGACAATAAAGTTTGTCTAATTCTAAGTAAGTAGCTGTCCATGAGATAATAAAGAGCTGAAAATGACTGCATGAAAAGTGGGATTTTCGTCAATATGCGGCACTGTAGATTGTCGTGGAACTTCAGGTTAGCGGCAGTTTACGGCAATTTGCAGGCTTCGTTGNAGGCGAGAAGACATTAAAGACATTTCATCCCATTGCTGCGTGTCCCGAGCCCATAACATCATCAGTGACCCCTCACACCCCCACCATGGACAGTTCTCCCTGCTGCCCTCTGGGAAGAGGCTTCGCAGCATCTGCTGCAGGTCCGACAGATTCCACAACAGCTTCTTCCCCACCAACATTACACTACTGAATGTTGAATAAAATGGGTTTTAAAGAAAAAAAAACCTTAATGTTGGAAAATGTAAATCATGTACCAGTTTTATGTTTACATTTGATCACTGCTGCACTTTATACAAGGAAACATCATTAAAGCTGTCCTGAACAAAATTTCTTTTTCTATCCACTCTGGGTGTACAAAATGACAATAAAGTCTGTCTAATTCTAAGCAAGTAACTGTCCATGAGATAATAAAGAGCTGAAAATGTTGTCTTTGGTTAGTATAGTTAGATAGTTTATAAATATTTCATTTAACTTATGTTAGTAAAGTTCATTTACCGTTTTTGAGTTGTGTGTGAATACAGGTCACATGTCTACAGTAAACCAGGTAGTGGATGTTACGTTCAAAATTGTAGGTTTATGATAAAAAGAGAAACTGAGTCCACACAGAATAGGGTTTTTTGGCTCCTCCAAGAGGAGAGAGTCACGTTCTGCTACATCTGCCCTCTCTCGGTCTCCTCAGCAGAAGCCTTTTATTAGCAGATCATAACACATGGGTTGGGTTACAGAACAGTGTTCTTCTGACAAGGCAATTGATTGGGTCATAGGACAAAATGCTCCTCTTGATTGAATCACAGCAGGATGCAACCGTGTGACTTTGCCTCATGACGTATTGATTGAATCACAGGATAGCAGGATGCAGGTCACAAAAGTCTACGACCCTCTTGACTGAATCACAGTACACAAATGTAGCATAATTTTATAATCATAACTCTAACAGTGGATTTGAACTGAATTGTGGGTAATTGTATAATTGTGTGTTTTATATTGATAATCTAGCAGGATGCATCTCCTGTTTATTCTAGTTTGACCAGCTTCCTTTGAAATCTGTGTAATTACAGACATTTGTGTGAACCTGCGATTGGAATGCTTTATATTCTTTATTTTTATAGTTTTCATGGTGTCTTCAACAAGAGAGAGAGAATAAAATGTTATAAGACATCTTTGTGATCCGTGGCCTTCCTAAAAATCCGACCTGAGTAGTTAAATATTTTTTTCTGATCCTCAAATGACCAAATATACATACTCATGTCAAAAACCTGCTAGCTTTTAATGGATTCTTTACTAGTAAAACCATATAAACCCTATTTCCAACTTTTTAACACCAAGAAAATGGATAATTTATTATAAAAGTCTTTATTTCACCCAACTGGCTCCTTGTTCGTAAATTCATAGCCTTTAGTATCGTGCTTTTGTTCTACGAGGCACTAACGGTTCTTCTATGTTCCTTTAAGATATGAGATTTGCAAAAACTGAATGAAAAACTTTTTTCTAAAGCTTTATTGTACAGGATGTTTGTGCACAAATTGAGTTAAAACAATATTAAAAAGTGTGAATAACTGCAGCTGACTGAGAAAAGAGGCAGTAATATACTGCTAATTCAGAAATAGTGTCATGATCTTTATGCCTTTTTAGTTTAAAACACAAAACATCAATGAAAAAGAACTAGTTAAATTTGCAGCTGTTAATTTTGGTAAGTATGACCTGGACCAACAGATTAAAGGCAAGTGATGATCAGGATTTCTTTTAAAGTTAATCTCAAAGCATCTTATATGTTACTTCCTAGAGGTTAATGAAGTTTCTTTATGCATTTTAAATGGCAGAAATGTTATAAACGATGGCTAAAGTAAGAAAATGAGCAACAAAGACCAGTGTAGTTACTTTTTTATTGAATAAAGAAGACACTGAAAGGCTTTATTTTAAATGTATTTTATTTAATATATCTGTGCCAACATTAATAACTAGAGAAAAAGGCCTTAGTCCGTCAATAATAGCACAGCATTTACAAATCCCAGTTTTCCAAGGCTTTGTGGTTTTGAAGTGTGAAAAAAAAAAGTAAAAGTTGTTTGTTATTGATAGAAGGCTGAAAGAAAAAAACATAAAGGTCCCTTTTATGGTGGATTAGTTACAACCAAGTATAAAACATGAGGTTGCTCGGTACATCTGCTGCTTTCCTTTACATGCTTTCGATCAAATATAAAATTAGCTAAACTGAATCTTCCATCCCTTTTCTTCTGACTTAAAAGCCTCAATAAATTAAGGCCAATGTTGCTATATGTCATATTAACGGCCCACAGAGGTATTAATAAAAAAAAAAAAAAAAAAAAAAGGGAATATTTATTTTTCAAACTCAAATTTCAAATGAAAAGTTTGTAACAGGATTATTGACAACTATATCCATTAAAACATAAAGTGTAAACACACTGCTGTGGAAAAGTAAACCTTATTCTCATCGTTTTTATTTTGTAGCTTTTATTATCGGAGATAATCCTCTATGTGAGATTTTCCTCTATGTGAGATTTTGTCTACCGGTATGTTGTATTTCTGTTTGTATTTTAACTGGTGTGCCGTCTTGGCCAGGTCTCCCTCGAAAAAGAGATTTCAATCTCAAGGGACTTCCTGGTTAAATAAAGGTTAAATAAAAAAAATAAAATAAAATAAAAAATAAAAAGATAGATAAAGCAGGTATAAAATCAATAGTTTCAAATGTTATTCAAGGAATGAAAGTTAACCAAACCAATCTGGTGCTGTGAAAAAGGAATTGCTGCCTTTTTACATTTTTAATAGTGTAATTAACCAAATTTTGGGGATCATTAGTTGAATTATGAAACTCCGCCCCCAGCCAAGCCAGACTACCACCAGACCATCAGAGTTAAGAAAACACTGAAACAGACCTAATTCAATAACATGAACACTAAGGAGCAAAGCCAAACCAATGTGGAGGAATGTAAACATTTCTGCAAAGAGAAGATGATCAAAGCTTCCCCACAGTGATGTCAAAGACTAACGCATGCTTCACACACGTTTAGTCACAGTTCTAGGGGCCAATCCAGGTAACAGCTTTAGTGGTAAATTACTTTATTAGAGGGCCAATTTGGTTTGGATAGTTTTGCTTTCTGTCAAAAATCAACTTTTTTCTGAAGTTATCTTTGCCTGATAATGAAATGTAACAGGGTAAACAGTCTCTCACAGCCCTCTATGTGGATAAAGTGGAACTCTGCTCCTCTTTAGATGTTTGTGGAGGATTATCCTCCACCCTGCAGGATTTCATCAAATCCATCCTCTAACACTGTAAGGAAACAAAAGTCAAGCATTTAGAGGCCAAATCAAGTTGCTGTGATCTGATTTTAACCCATTAACTGTGCAGGAGTTGCATCAGATCCTCAAATTCTTGTAAAAACTATCCTGTAGAAGTATTATTCAACAGTGTAAAAATGATGAAAATGATCTTACCTTACTGAACATGATGTCTTGCATGTTAAAAATAACAATACTGTGTGTTTGGTCATACTTTATAAATGCAAATTTCCACATCCTCCCATTTAAACAAGATCCTTGGTAAAACAAAGCAGAATTTTCTCGCTAACAAACACAAAATCTTCCAGCTGATAGGATGAACATCTCTTGCTCATATAATTCGTCTATAATTCAATCAATGTTTCCTTTGCATATGTACTAAAACCTTAAACTGCTTTTTAGGTCTAAATATCCTGTCCTTTACCAAGAAGGCCAATAACGACATTTTCATAAATATATGATTCCTTATCTGGTTTCTCTTTGGTTTTGCTATATAATTTATTCTAAATACTAACTGATCTCTTTGGGTTTTGGTAAATCTCATAACATTATTTCAGTAAAACCCTCTGAGGTGCAGCGGAGGGAGTCTGCATCTCTGATAAAGTGTAACAGGGCGAATAAATGTTACCTGTTCTGTTTAAAGTTGCGACTCACTGCAGTGACACCTGAATAAAGGACTCACTAAGTCGAAGACTAATACATTTTAAATCTTTATTAATGTTGATCGTGCATATTATGACTTCCAGCTAATATAAAGCTCTTAATTCCCTTTCTTAACTTATGTCATAAAGAAAATTTTTAACTGGTTTCAAACCATATATATAATATTTAGTCCAATTATACCCATAAAATCATCAGAAAGAGTGCTAACTTGAAAGTCGCTAACACTCTGAGCTAAAGACCAAAAAAGAAGACGACTGTTCTCAGAATGTTACATCCAAACAAACGAATGGAAAGTTGAGTGGAAGAAAAACTTCAGGGTGGAAAAAAATATGCGTCCGATCAATATCCATGACACAGACCACAGCTGTTGATAATTATGTGTATTCTGTTTTACTGTACGAACGGCTCAGAGTCCATCTGTATAGCTGTGTTTCTCTCCTAGATAAGGCTAACAGAGGACTTTCTGCTGCCACTTCTTTGTTTCAGTCATGGCAAACAGGCAGGTTCTGCTGGATGAAGGCTGCAATTAAAACAACCCAGACTTTTATAACACCCAAGAAAACCCTCAGGTTGATAACCGTCAAATAATGCTGCATTCATTTATGCAGAATAATTTCTAAGTGTATATAATTTATATACATTATAGAACAGACTGTCTGATGGGTCAACAATACTGCATCTAAAAATCCCTCCCCAAGGAGGTTGTTTTCATCAGCATTGGTTTGTCTATTTTAAAAATAATATAAGTTATGGACGGATTTTGCTGAAATTTTTAGAGAAAAAGTTTTGTGACTGGTTACAAATAATAAAATTTTGGTGATGATCCGGATCAATCCAGGAATTATCTGAAAGATATCATGAAAACAGGTATTAATTTAAGGTGTGAGTCAAACGGAGCTACTTGGCAGAGGTCTGCCTCTCTACGAGGGCTTTCTTGTTATTTCATACTCACATTGCCAAAGAAAGTTGGTTTTTACAAACTGTAAGTCATAATCATAAAAATGAACACGAATCAATGCTATAAATACATCAAACTGTATGCAATCTTTACAATATTTATATATTCTGGAACTGTTTGTGCAATGAGGGTCCTTAAGTTTCAATTTGAAGGAAAATAAATCAAAGGTATCTATTATTTTGTTGAAGTTTTAAAGTGTCTAAAGTTCTCTTCTGGTGACTTAAACAATTAGAAGCAGCTAAATGTGAGAGAAAATGTGAAACTGGTTCCTCCTAAACAGTTAATTCAGTGCTTTCAGTCCCTTGGTCCTACTAGCTTAAATCTAAATACAATCCAACCCGGGTTGTTTAAAGGAAGTATTTTTCTTTATCTCACTGATCCCATGGTTTGTGATCCGATGTGTGGAGCTCATCCTCGTTTTCTGGTTTTGCTCTTAACTCTTTAAACATTTCATATCTGCCTATTCACCATATTCAAGGAAATAAATCCACCATGAAGGAGGGAGAAGAACAAACCCAATGCCATGAGGGCAAATAGTGAAGAGTGAGAAATGTGCAGATAAGATAAAAACAACCTTTCATCTCCTCAGAAAGCCGTGCAGATACAAACAGAACTGGAATCGGGTCCAGTAGAGGCCCTCCACCTGGTTGGTGGTTATTGACAACAAAAAAGAGACAAATGTGTTGCACAAACACACCAATAAGAAAGGTCGGCACTGATCACTGTATGCTTCATAGCAGCTAACGATGAAACATCGCCTCACAAAACACTGAGAGGCAAAAAGCATCAACTGGCACTTCTTCCTACAAACGTATGGGTTTTAACTGGTAACATTTTTTTTCCTGATCCTGTAGCACAAACAGGAGCATTTTATTTTTTTCATGGCAAAGTTTGCTCTATTGAATGACAACTTAAAGTTGCTGAGGTAATAAAAAAGGGCACAGGTAAAACAGGCACAGAAGAGGGGCAGTTACTCACAGGAGGAAACCTTGACATTCACTTGAAGGCTGTGCTCAGCAAAGCCCGGCTCTGTCGGCCGTTTGCAGTCCTTTGTGAAGTTGTTTACTATCTCTGCACTCTTTAAGTCAGTTCTCAAGATTTCTGGATTCTCCAGAGAAAGAAGAAAAACATGAAGGAGGATCTGCTGTGCATCAACACTTGGACTGTAGAAAGTCTGGACCTCGTTCAAGGATATAAGCTCCTTCGTTTCTCATCAGTCATCATTTTAAATAAAGATTCTCTAATAATGTAACAATTATCACCCCAGTCATTAAATCAGTGCATGTGGACTAATGTGAGCCTGAAAGCTCTGAAAAGAAGCCAAAGGTCCAGGCGACAGAAGGACTTTAGATCCGTCACTGAGGCTGCTGAGATCGTCTCTCCTCCAGACAACGACAAACCCACATCGACACGACCTCAGCATTCCCATCATTGTAGTGGATGATAAAAGAATGTTCCTGCAAAAATAGAAATAAATGTACATTAAAAAACTAAATAAAATAAACCCAAACTACAACAGCAATCAGGCTTAACTTTATGACTATCTGCCAAAAAGTGATTTCCTGTCCACAACAACCCAAAGATACTTGACTGGATTAAGGTGGGGAATAGGGAGAGGCCAAGTTCAGGCTGGATCTCCTTATATTCTGAAGAGAGTCTGGCTGCAGACTTGCAGTGTCAGGACACAGACCTGCAGTGTCAGGAGGACCCAGACCTGCAGTGTCAGGAGGACCCAGACCTGCTCTGTCAGGAGGACCCAGACCTGCTCTGTCAGGAGGACCCAGACCTGCTCTGTCAGG